CTACATACTGATATACACCTGAACATCAGCAGGAGAGGACTCTTTAAAGTAGAGACTACATACTGATATACACCTGAACATCAGCAGGAGAGGACTCTTTAAAGTAGAGACACTACTACTGATATACACCTGATCATCAGCAGGAGAGGACTCTTTAAAGTAGAGACACTACATACTGATATACACCTGAACATCAGCAGGAGAGGACTCTTTAAGTAGAACACTACATATGATATACACCTGAACATCAGCAGGAGAGGACTCTTTAAAGTAGAGACACTACATACTGATATACACCTGAACATCAGCAGAGAGGACTCTTTAAAGTAGAGACACTACATGCTGATATACACCTGAACATCAGCAGGAGAGGACTCTTTAAAGTAGAGACACTACATACTGATATACACCTGACATCAGCAGGAGAGAGACTCTTTAAAGTAGAGACCTAACATACTGATATACACCTGAACATCAGCAGGAGAGGACTCTTTAAAGTAGAGACACTACATACTGATATACACCTGAACATCAGCAGAGGACTCTTTAAAGTAGAGACACTACTACTGATATACACCTGAACATCAGCAGGAGAGGACTCTTTAAGTAGATACACTACATACTGATATACACCTGAACATCAGCAGGAGAGGACTCTTTAAAGTAGAGACACTACATGATATAACACCTTATCATCAGCAGAGAGGACTCTTTAAAGTAGAGACACTACATACTGATATACACCTGAACATCAGCAGGAGAGGACTCTTTAAAGTAGATACACTACATACTGATATACACCTGAACATCAGCAGGAGAGGACTCTTTAAAGTAGAGACACTACATACTGATATACACCTGAACATCAGCAGGAGAGGACTCTTTAAAGTAGAGACACTACATACTGATATACACCAGAACATCAGCAGGAGAGGACTCTTTAAAGTAGAGACACTACATACTAATACACCTGAACATCAGCAGGAGAGGACTCTTTAAAGTAGAGACACTACATACTGATATACACCTGAACATCAGCAGGAGAGGACTCTTTAAAGTAGAGACACTACATACTGATATACACCTGAACATCAGCAGGAGAGGACTCTTTAAAGTAGAGACACTACATACTGATATACACCAGAACATCAGCAGGAAGGACTCTTTAAAGTAGAGACACTACATACTGATTATACACCTGAATCAATCATCAGGAGAGGAACTCTTTAAAAAAGTAGAGATACTACATGCTGATATAACACCTGAACATCAGCAGGAGAGGACTTCTTTAAGTAGAAGGGACTACATACTGATGAGGAGTACAACCTGATAATCAGCAGGAGAGGACTACTTAAAGTAAGTAAGAGGACTACATACTGATATACAACCTGAACATCAGCAGGAGAGAGCACTCTTAAAGAGTAGAGACACTACACACTGATATACACCTAACATCAGCAGGAGAGGACTCTTTAAAGTAGAGACACTACAACTACTGATATACACCTGAACATCAGCAGGAGAGGACTCTTTAAAGTAGAGACACTACACATACTGATATACACCTGAACATCAGCAGGAGAGGACTCTTTAAAGTAGATACACTACATACTGATATACACCTGAACATCAGCAGGAGAGGACTCTTTAAAAGTAGAGACACTACATACTGATATACACCTGAACATCAGCAAGAAAGAGGACTCTTTAAAGTAGAGACACTACATACTGATATACACTGAACATCAGCAGGAGAGGACTCTTTAAAGTAGAGACACTACATACTGATATACACCTGAACATCAGCAGGAGAGGACTCTTTAAAGTAGAGACACTACATACTGATATACACCTGAACATCAGCAGGAGAGGACTCTTTAAAGTAGAGACACTACATACTGATATACACCTGAACATCAGCAGGAGAGGACTCTTTAAAGTAGAGACACTACATACTGATATACACCTGAACATCAGCAGGAGAGGACTCTTTAAAGTAGACACTACACATGATATACACCTGAACATCAGCAGGAGGACTCTTTAAAGTAGAGACAACATACTGATATACACCTGAACATCAGCAGGAGAGACTCTTTAAAGTAGAGACACTACATACTGATATCACCTGATCATCAGCAGGAGAGGACTCTTTAAAGTAGAGACACTACATACTGATATACACCTGAACATCAGCAGGAGAGGACTCTTTAAAGTAGAGACACTACATACTGATATACACCTGAACATCAGCAGGAGAGGACTCTTTAAAGTAGAGACACTACATACTGATATACACCTGAACATCAGCAGGAGAGGACTCTTTAAAGTAGAGACACTACATACTGATATACACCTGAACATCAGCAGGAGAGGACTCTTTAAAGTAGAGACACTACATACTGATATACACCTGAACATCAGCAGGAGAGGACTCTTTAAAGTAGAGACACTACATACTGATACAAACTGAACATCAGCAGGAGAGGACTCTTTAAAGTAGAGACACTACATACTGATATACACCTGAACATCAGCAGGAGAGGACTCTTTAAAGTAGACACTACATACTGATATACACCTGAACATCAGCAGGAGAGGACTCTTTAAAGTATAGACACTACATACTGATATACACCTGAACATCAGCAGGAGAGGACTCTTTAAAGTAGAGACACTACATACTGATATACACCTGAACATCAGCAGGAGAGGACTCTTTAAAGTAGAGACACTACATACTGATATACACCTGAACATCAGCAGAGAGGACTCTTTAAAGTAGAGACACTACATACTGATATACACCTGAACATCAGCAGGAGAGGACTCTTTAAAGTAGAGACACTACATACTGATATACACCTGAACATCAGCAGGAGAGGACTCTTTAAAGTATACACTACATACTGATATACACCTGAACATCAGCAGGAGAGGACTCTTTAAAGTAGAGACACTACATACTGATATACACCTGAACATCAGCAGGAGAGGACTCTTTAAAGTAGAGACACTACATACTGATACACCTGAACATCAGCAGGAGAGGACTCTTTAAAGTAGAGACACTACATACTGATATACACCTGATCATCAGCAGGAGAGGACTCTTTAAAGTAGAGACACTACATACTGATATACACCTGAACATCAGCAGGAGAGGACTCTTTAAAGTAGAGACCTACATACTGATATACACCTGAACATCAGCAGGAGAGGACTCTTTAAAGTAGAGACACTACATACTGATATACACCCTGAACATCAGCAGGAGAGGACTCTTAAAGTAGAGACACTACATACTGAATACACCTGAACTCAGCAGGAGAGGACTCTTTAAAGTAGAGACACTACATACTGATATACACCTGAACATCAGCAGGAGAGGACTCTTTAAAGTAGAGACACTACATACTGATATACACCTGAACATCAGCAGGAGAGGACTCTTTAAAGTAGAGACACTACATACTGATATACACCTGAACATCAGCAGGAGAGGACTCTTTAAAGTAGAGACACTAATGATATACACCTGAACATCAGCAGGAGAGGACTCTTTATGATACAGTAGAGGGAGAGGACTCATACTGATATACACCTGAACATCAGCAGGAGAGGACTCTTTAAAGTAGAGGGACTACATACTGATATACACCTGAACATCAGCAGGTGGTTAGGGATGCTCCGATCGTCAATTTCGGGGCCGATCGCCGGAATCAGTATCGGCCGATCCGATCAAGTGGGCGGGGCCTAAATGGAAGATTTAAACATCACTTTAAATCTTCCATTTAAAGTGATGTTTAAAACTCAGTTAATGCTCATTCACTGGAGCTTCCACACACAATCAACTTAATTATTACATTCAAATGATGTACATTATTCAAGTTTACATTCACTTTGGAGAATAACACGGGAGAGATGAGCGGAAGCCCCCCTCTCTCCCCTCTCTCTCCCTCCTGACAGCCTGTCAGTATCTCATGCAGCTCACTGATCCAGTAATGAGTGACCCGACTGAAGAATAAATATATGTATAACTAGTGTAGCTTGTTCCAGAGGTAGATAAAATAGCACAGTGTGTGAGGTCTAACTCTTGTGTGTTTCGCTCACCGGTCCGTCTCAGCGGGCGGAGCTGCAGGATTTCTGCTTCACGTTGCATTCCGCTATTTTACTGTCTTTTTCGGACACCTTAAAATACTGCCAGACCGGTGAAGCCATGTTGTCAGCTTGTTCTGCCGCACACAGAGAAAAGTGTCATGTATTTTACGTCACGCGATCGGCTCTCGCGATCGCCATGTTTAGAGAGCACCGATCGATCGGTAGAGAGTGAGTATCGGCCGATCTCGATCAGTGACCGATCGATCGGAGCATCCCTAGTGGTGGTGCAGCAGGTCTGTGAGGTAGGGGGGAGGGGCGTGGTGGTTCAACAGGTCTGTGAGGTAGGGGGGGGGTGTGGTGGTGCAGCAGGTCTGTGAGGGGGGGGGAGGGGCGTGGTGGTTCAACAGGTCTGTGAGGGGGGGGAGGGGCGTGGTGGTTCAACAGGTCTGTGAGGTAGGGG